ACTACATCTGGCTAAAGCAGCTGCAATCAGAGCCACCAATTGGTTAAATTTCAATAACCCACTGGTCATTCTCCACAATCCGCCTGTCTTGTGCATGTCTTCTGCAAAATGGGAGAGTTGAAGGGAGATGTGGTGGGAAACACCAGCCCTGCATCCTTCAAATCCTTAATGGTGGCACTAACCTTTTGCAATCCCTCCAGGAACATGGTATTGCTTTTAATTTACTATTTTGCTAGGGAAGGACAGTTCTAGTGGCTTCCCCTTGTCCTTTTTCACCATGATAGTCTTTATTCTATAGGTCAGGGAACCAATGTGGGGTTTCTGCCAGCTTTTCAGTATGTCTGTTCCAACTATGCATTCTAGAACTGGGGAAATATCACAAGATAGATTCAGGGATCCACTACTGTAAGATAGACCTGTGCTAAAATTCCACTGATCATCTGATATCCAAAAGCTCCATCTCTGACTGGTGGGGCCACAATAATGGCTTAGAGTCTCCTGGAATTAGTGTTAGTTCAGAGCCTTTGTCCAATAATCCCCAAATGTCTGATTATTTCCTTTCAGAGGGTTACCAGAGGGTTACCCTGGTAAAAGGCCATAGTTCCTTTTGGGGATGGCTGAGAGAAATATTAGTAGTATACCTTTTCAGTAGTGTACTGAAGTCATACCTCAAGGGGATCCAGCTTCCCCTTCATTCAAATTTTTCTGGGTGTGGAAACTGGCTCATGTCCGGGAATTGATTGAAGGGACACGGCTTTCTGTTCTTATGATTCAGGTTAGACTTGTTTACTTGACCTAGAACTTTTCCACTTGTACAGATCAAGTAAGAATTTAGCAGGCTTTCTAGCTATTTCATTTCTAGAGACATCATGATCAATTAGCCAGTACCATAGGTCTGTGTGAGTCAGAATATTCTGATTGCTGCTTTGACTCTGGTGTCCATTATAGTAACCACACCTACCTTGCCTGTGATGGTTGAGTACCACCACTTGGCCCTTTCCACCCTGGGATCTAGTTAATGACCTTGCATTGAGGTTTCCCAATTCAGTGACTGCAGTGCCCACTGTGAGGTCTGGTGTACAGAGAAGACTAATCACAGAGATTTTCAAGGACACCAAGGCTCCCCTTACAAATTTATTCCTCACAGTCCTGCTGAAATGTATGTCTTCTGGACCCTCCTAATTTCGGTAAGTCACTCTTAAATGGTAAGTCTACTCTCTAACACTGTAATGTCCCTAAGCCTTTGGATCCCTTCCTCTACAAAGCATGTCTGGTATTTCCACTCACTCACGGGGTCATCTCTTGATCCGTGTTTCAGCCAACCAACCAAAGAAACTATTAGAGTCCTTTCTAAACTCCCTGAATTACAACATTAAATGCATAATCTGCTTTATGAACCTGTGTCAATAAATATAGCTTGATCCCACTTTCTGTTCCTTCCACCATTGTCCTACATCTTTAGTATCTATTCCCACAAGTCCCCTAGATTTCTGTCTACATAAATTAGAAAAGTTAGCCAGATGTAATACACCTTCTCATTGGTCACACAGAATACCTCATCTTTGGGACCTGCTGGTACTTGAATCTAGTTATAGGTCTAGAAGCAAAGAGGGGTGGTTGGATGGATTCTGAGGAGATTCAGCATTGTCATGCATGTCAAATACCTTAAGGGAAGCCATTACAGTTTTCCCAGGGAATGTAGGGTTAATCTGGTCAGTCAGGGGTGGAAAGACCAACACCACTGTGGATGACAAGGCCAGTACCACTAGAGGTGGGAATGCCACTGTGAGGAGTGAGGGGGTGAGGAGGCCCACTCTGCTGGAGATGGGGAGACTTCCTCCACTGGTAAGGAAGAATTACCAGAATTTAGAGACTCAATGTCCTCAGCTTCAGCAGAATCTTCACACAACCTCATCCCAGCTTATGATCCCATTCTTGCCCATTCAATGTCCTCACTTTAATAGTAGACACCCTGTGAGGCTGGGAGTTCAAGTTGCATTGTAATTTAACAAGTCACAGGATGAGGTTCTACATTTGGTTTTTAGCAGCTTCAGCTCTGTAGCTACAGGTGATAAGGGTCTTTCCAGGAATGCATAGTAGCTCTTAGGTCATTTGTGAAGAGCTTGAGCTGGGAATTTAAATCTCTGAACTCCTCCTTTTATTTTGCTACTCTATCAATAATATTAGGAGCAATCAGTCAATGTCATTATATTCATTAATTTTTCAAAAATGTTCAGAAGTTCCATATACTATGTCACCTAGCTCCTTGTTTCTTATAAATAAGTGATTTATGCAGATGTTTTGCATATCTCTATAAACAGTTTACACTGTGGATTATAAGTGCTCTCTCCATACTGGAAAGAGAGTCATTAGCATCTTTAAACCTAATTAGATTAGAGAAACAATTCCATACTCTTGGTACCAAAATTGTATTAGTCTATGTTCTTCAAAGAAACAAAAGTCATAGGCTATATCTACCCATCTATTTATCTAATAATAAACTATCTATCTATTATATCTATCTATAAAATTTTATCATCTATCAAAAGAGAGAGAGATTTATTATGAGGAATTGGCTCATGTAATTTTCAAGGCTGAGAAGTCCTATGATCTGCCATCTGCAAACTGGAGATCCAAGAAACCTGATGGTCTGAGTCCAACTACCTGAGAACCAGGAGAGCATATGTTGTAAATCCTAGTCTAAGGGCCAGAGAAGATGAATTGAGAGGAGATGAGATGAGATGAGATGAGATATTCCACTTCAAAGAGTAAGGCAGGAAAAAGGTATGAAAAGGGGAAGAATTCCTCCTTCCTCAAGCGTTTTCTCTATCCAGGCCCTCCAGGGATTGGATGATGCCCACCTATGTTGAGAAGGGCAATTCACTTTGCTAAGTCCATTGATTCAAATACTAATCTCATCTGGATATGCCCTCACAGACACAGCCAGATATAATGTTTAATCTGGGCACCCTGTGGCCAGTCAAGTTGACACATAAAACTAGTTATCACAAATTAATATACCATTCTGAGCTTTATATTTTCAATTGCATATAAAAATTGACCTCCAACTCAGGATATTTAATATCCTTCTGAAATCCATTGAAATATAAAGATTACCAATTATAGAAGAGCTACCATGTTAATCCTTAATTTCTAATTGCCTTCTAAAAATTCTTATTTGAGTCAAAAACAAGAATATTGAAATTTCTACAAAAACCAATTTGAGTAAATTTGTCATCCTAAGGAAGTCTCAGGTATTTAGTAAAGAGAAATAATGGTATTGAGCTCCTACTATGTCCTGTGCTCTTTAAGTGGATTTTCTTATTTAGTTTTCACACACACACACACACACACACACACACACATTAATAAGGAAAAAATAACTAATATTTGGAAAGTTTCATAATTTGCCACTGTCAGTTTGCAGCAGAGTTTTTCAAACCTAGCTCTAATCCCAAAGTTGTGTTTTTTACATAATAGAAAACTTCTACCCAAAGAAACAACTCTATTTGTGGAATGTTAGTGCCCATACCTATATAAACATCTCATATACTTAAGTAAAAATATTCACTCTATTGTTTTTCCACTTGACATTATGGCATGAACATTTATGCATATAGGCTCTAAAATGTTAAAAGTTAACATCTTTGTAATGCTTTTTCTTGGTAGTATACGTTAATTTCTTTAATTTAATTTAAACGGTTTCCAAATTCTTTTCATCATTGATTAGGCATAAGTAAGGTATTCATTCCCTTAGATTTTGATTTCTATTGAGCTATTTCTTTAAGATATGGTTTTAGTTGTGAAATTCATGGGAATAAAAGATATGAGTATCTATATAGCTCTTACTACACTGACCCTTTTTTTTCTCAACCAGGTGCACTAATTTAAAATGAAATATTGCTACTTTTAAAAGGAGACACTGTCAACACTCACATTCTACAATGGGAAGAACATCAAGCTTCAGGGATTTATCACTCAAATTGTTGTTGTGAATTGCCCTTGAAAAGGATAGTGACAGACCTCCTCCCCTACCCTGAATTATATTACATCCGAGAGGACTGAAATGGTCATTAATTTTTAATATTATCTCTTCTCAGGGAAGAGCATAATGAATTTTCCTTAGACATTCTTATAGGATTGAAATCCTAGAAATTCTGGGAAGATTTCAGGGTATCTATAGTGAGCTCTGAAAAATGTTAACCAAGTTTCCAGATGAGAGTAGGTAACAGAAAAAACAGTAAATATTAAACTACCTACAATATCAGTTCCTACCATAATAACAACTAATAATGCCTGTACAATGCTTTCCTGTTTAGACAGTTTCTTCCCATATGTTTGATCTCGGGTGGGGAAGAATAGATTACACTGGAATGAGGTTTGTGAGATACAGAAAATCGTGTGCCAGGGATAAGATTTGTGCCTTTGTCCTTACTGAAGTTAACAGTCTCATTGCATTAAAAATACATCATCACATTAAAAACTATGTCCCAAAGAAGGTAACATTAAATATCTAACAAGTAAAATATATGATATATCAAAATATAAAAGAAGGAGAGTTTAATTATTCTGGACTTGAGTAATCAGAGTAGTCAGTATGGCTGAGGTATGGAAACTCCTTTTCAGAGAAGTTATATATGATAAGTATCAGGAAGTTAAGCCTTCATTGCATTCTGGCCCTTCTCCAGCCTTCCCATCATCACCTCAGTGTACTTTATTCAGGCCTTTAGGAGTATCCTGAGGAGTTTCCTTTATGAAGGTCAGTCAAGTTCTGGAACCTCACACTTCCTTGTCTATCTCTGGAAGTAGAAGCTTTTAGCGAAGGTTTCGTAGAAACTGTTTTTTTTAATGCATGAAATAATTACCTTTTTTTTCCATAAAAGTCATATACAGAATGGACCCCAACCAGTAAGTCCTCCTCATCTCAACCTCTTTAATCAAGATTAAAACTCAGTGCATGTGTGTACTTCATCCAGCATCTGCAGGCTGCATCCATGCCTTCAGGCTCTGTTAAGGAGAGTCATCCTAAGAGTCTTCCAGCTATCCTTCTTGATGTGGTTTTCAGGACCTTCACTTTCAAAGGAGATGATGAAGAGAGCTTCCTCGCTCCAGATGGGTGCCGTGAGCAGGTAGTTCTGAACCTTCTTGTCCTTCTCGAAGGGACAATCTACCTGAGTCCATGTCATGAACTCATGGATTTGTCTGGAGATTTCCCTAAATTCCTTGAAGTTAACATGCCCATTGGGCAAGTGATTGGTATGGATTTTGTGCAGGAAGTAAATGTCCTTAACGAAAAGGTTGAATACAGGGATAACAATCTTCTCTCTGCTGTTTTTGGCCATCTGGGGCCTTTGTGTGGCCCCCTGCAGGGCCGTGCAGTAGTTGCAGAAGTTGCTGGATGGGTCCATGTGGTGCTCCAAGATGTCAAACTTGGCCATCTTGACTTTGGACCATGTTTTCTTAAGCTTTGCCACAGGACTGAGGTTCATGCCAGAGATGATGGCCATCATGGAGTTGAAATTCCCGATATTAAAGTGCTTCTGGGCCACAGCAAGAAAGAACTCTAGCATGTGGGTCCAGTGCTTCTTCCTCACCACCTGGCACACCTCAGTGGCCACTAGCATGCTAAGGCAGTTGAACCATTGTCACACGCCTCCAGGCTATAGGTCTTGGTCAGGTCCCCTTGGCACCGGTGCTTGTCCCGAGAGTTCATGTGGCTGACGATCTGCATCAGATCCTCAGGGTGAATGCTATTGATCCTCTCCAGCTCAATATGAGTCAGCTGCTGGGCCAGCACCAGGGGGTCAAAGCACACACCCAGGATGTCCTTCTGAGTGGCTGGCGGCTTAGCCTTGAGGAAAGACCCTTTGTCCATGGCTGGTGAGTGAAGCTTTTCCCACAGCTCCTGAAGCTGGCTCTGGGCAGCCAGCTACAGCAGCAGGCTCTGTGTCATTTGGGAAATAGCCTTCTTCACTGTGCCATTCTCCTCGTCACACTGTGTGACCCGGTGGGTAATGGTCTTCGGTTCAACCATGGCCTTCTCATCCTGGAAGTCACAGAAGAAGGCCTCTGTCTACTCCTTTAACAGCTGCACAATCTTGGCTGAGAAGGACTTCAGCTTGGCCAAAGAGGTATGCCAATGATCCTCTACCACTCTGTAGCAAAGGATTTCTCCTGCATCGAAACCATCCATGTTTAAAAATCTTGCCCAGTCTGAGTGTAGAAAATAGCAAGCTACAAGGATGGATGGTGAAAGCAGCTATTGATTCAAGTAGACAGCTAAGTATGGCCATTCATTCAACCAATACTTATTGAGCACTAACAAGGCATCTGGCACTGGGTACTTAAACACATTACTGAGATATGAGGGAAAATGTAGTATTTGATTCCAAATATAAAACAGAATAAATTCATACAATTTATCCACAGTAAGAACAAATAAAATTATTTATTCCAAACCCTTTGTCATGAATATCAAGTAACTAAGACACCAAAAGTCACTTACTCAATAGGTGGTTAGTATCAAAGCCAAATTTTAGAACCTAGATCATTTTATTCTTTGCCAATCCATCTTAGCCAAGGGTTCCAGGAAGACATTATCATCACCTTTCTTTATTGAAACTTTCAATCTTCTTCTCTGAAAGAAAACGCAAAAAATGTCTTTCAGTGCACAAGTAGGCTTTATCTTTCTTCTTATTATTTTATTCCAAGACTATTAGTTTCTCACCATCTAATACTTATTCTTTAATGAAATGAACTTGAATAACTGGGTAAACATCTACAATGTTTAACAAACTATTGTCATACTTTAAATAATGGCAAAACTACCAAAGCTGTATTGTTCAATAAGAGAGCCATTGGCCACAATTTAAATTACATACAATTATCCACTTCCTCAGTTGCGGTAACTACATTTCACATGTTCAGTAGCCACATGTAGCCAGTGGCCACCATATTGAACAGTGCAAATATAGAACATTTCCATCATTGCAAAAAGCTCTATTGCAAAGTATCACATTAAAACAAAGAATCAGCTTCCCACCTGGCACTGTAAGGAATGAATTAAATTGCAAAATGCATTTTTTAATACATTCTGCCTTGAGTAATAAGATATTTACATAAGGATATGCGGGAAGAGAGATTTTACTGAGAAGCAGTACAAGAGAGATACAATCATATTGTGTTCTTCTGCTTTCCTGCTTGCAAACTAAATGCTTAAGTGGCATTCTTTGAATGCCTCAGATGCTCAGAATCTTTTCCTCCATATAACTAGATTTGAAATCTTTTCCATATGTCCTGTGAAATGGTTTATGTAGAAATAACACGAATATTCACTATAGTATTCATTCTCTTACACATATTAAATATAAAACAAGTAAATAATATATACTAAAGAAAACACATATGATTATTTAGGAAGGAAAGTTATTTCCAAGTGAATATTCAAATGAAGAACTGTAAAAGAAAAGATAACACTTTTGACTGAAAATAGTAAATTGGGCACAGCCTATTTTCATATTAGAGAATTTTGGAGAAAATCATGGAAGCATAAAAATATTTTTATATAATAACATTTATAGTGGCAAAAATTTTTTTTAAACTTAAATGGTCTTCAGGAAAATATTAACAAAATAAAATCATCACTTCCATACAAAATGATATTATATATACATAAAGGGGGGTGACCAAAACAACTGAAAGTGTAGTCTTCTCCCAAAAAGGAACAATGTGATTCCACAAAGGAAAATAAAAAGTGTTAGTATACTGTCTGTCCTTCTCTGTCTCTGTCTCTCTGTCTCTGTCTCATTCTCTCTCCTCATCTGTCTTTGTTGATTGTTTATTGATAGTGGATATACACTACTATTATAACAGGAAACGTGCAATACACTTTATAAATAAAGAATAGAAGGCATTTTCCCTACCTGGATATTGTTATAGTAGAAAGTTCAAATAACAAGTGCACGAATGTATGAGCTAATGAATACATGTAGAAATAAATATAACTCCCTTTCCAAACACATTTGGAATATTATTATCCTAAGTCATAATTTTGGAACACCACTAGTAGATGAAATAGAGTTTACTTTTGAGATTATAACAAACAAATCTGTAAGAAATCAAGCTTTCAGTAGTTACTAACCTTGCTTAATAGTGTAAAAGGGCCAATAAAAAGAGCAAGGCAAGTTGAGAAAGAAATAATGGAACCAAGGATACATAGATTTATACTACAGCTATGTGTCAGGATAGTTAGAGGACTATTCCCAAAGTTTGAATTTTAAATGAGTTTAAAAAAAAAAAAAAACCTTGGAAAGTAAAACTTACTTTAATCAATAGTGTTAAACATAGCAGTCTACATTTCTGTTAGTCTGGTTATCAGCTTTTAGGATCTCTATTTTTTTTTCAAATATTTACTGTGCAAATCACAGGCAATAAGTTAATTTTCTAAAGGACACCTTTTAAAACAAACTGAAAATTTGTAAATTTCTCTCTCCTTTACTTTGAACCTTAATGAGATCAGGATCACATGATTACTATAAGAAAGAATAGATGAGAGGGTAGTGGGACGGGGGCAAAGTTCTAAACCATTTCAGTGGAGTAAAGATCAATTTCATTTTAATATAATTTTTAATGGTTGTTCAAACTCATAATGCACCCACACAAAAGCCTTCAGTTAATGTGTGTGTATTTTGAGCAGTTCCCCTCTTCGACCCTCCAGTTTAATTTCCGTCCTTCAAATGAGATGAATGGAGCGTGAAGCAGGTCATATCTCAATGCTGACACATGGGTTGCAGACAGAACTCACAGCCTAGAGAAGCAGCCAGTTTGGAGATTAAATCAAAGCAGCTCTGAATAGATGGGAGGTCAGCCAGGGCCAGCTTTGACATTTGATAGGACCTTGTGATCAATCAGGCCTTTCTTCGCTCTCCCAGGTTTCCTTATGACAGGGGCCCTAAAAAACAGATGGGATATGTTACAAAGTGCAGGAGAAGCACTAGATTGTGAAAGGAGATAGGTGTCAATACTATCAAAGGGACAACTGTTATTTGAAGCGGCCAGCAAATCAGAAGGCTCTGTTTTGCTGCAATTGCGATGCGAAAGTTTTGCCTTTCACAATGTGAAATCTGAGCCTTCAGAATGGAGAGATAATTTTTCAAATGCTTTTCAAAATTTCTTACTTCCTATGCATTAAACTGGAAACTTTGAACTTTCCGAATATTATAAGATTGAATTTTAGCCAAGCTTCACTCTGTGAATAAGCTGTGTTTCCAGCAAAGCCAAGCTTGCTTGTTGCTCTATGTGTGTGTTTGTCTTTGGAAAACACATGCGCACGCACACACACACACACACAAATAAAACCAAGACATGATAACCTTTGGAAGAAAGGAATCAGAGGGTATTAATGTGGAGCACTTACTGGGCAGGGACCTGAGCTTGGTTTCAGGAAATCCCAGTCACGTCGCCAAGGGGGTCATAAAAAATGAATGGCCCCAGAGCACCACTGTGACAGACTGTTTCAGCGAGTGGTAATGGGCCATCTCTAGGATGAAAGGCCATGTATTTATAACTGTGCAGGCTACCAGGTATCACACCATTTATTATGCCTGCCTGATTTAAGGGAGATGCCTTTTACCAGGATGACATGAGAGCAAATTATTTCCAGGAATATCACAGCTCTCTCCCCCCACCCCTCATCTACCTCTCCATCTTGCCCACCCCCATCCCAGCCATAGAAACACTTGCTTATATTCATACAAGCATGAGCACATTCTCTGAAATTTTCCTGTTAGAGAACATTTCATACTCAGAGATAACTTCTCCAAAACTTCTCACTGCAATTTACTTTGGGATGGGAAAGTTAGAATGTGGGAGCCTGACCTAGGGAAGTCTTAAATAAGGAGGAAGGGCACAGAGTCACTCTACTACCTTTCTTCCATGAAATATTTGACTGGAGCCCGAAAGCCAAGACAACTGTTGGGCTGATTTGTAAAGTGAGTTACATTTTCACTTGACATGGACTCCATCTTCACAGAGAAGGTTGGCATTTTGAGTGGCATTTTGTTTCTTGGCCACTGACAGTGGTCAGTCATCAATCAAATGTGCAAAATTACTCAACCTCTGTGTACTATTTCTGATGAGAATTTAACCAACTGCAAAAAATTTTAAGTTATTGTCCAGCATTAATATTTTATATTTTCTTGAATACTTGATGAAAGTCTAATAAGACAGAACATAATAAACAAAATATTCCACCAACACATCCAGTATTCTGGTAAAAATAATTAATCTCAGGGAACTTGATGTAGCTAACTCAGATAATAGCAATGTCAAGGATTGTGTTTTGAAAAAAATGAGATTTAAATCTAACAGAAGAGTCATCATAAGATAAGCGTTTATAATATATGATTTATGTCCCTTAAAGTGTTAAATGAAAAAATAAACTTTATATTTCATATTAGTCTGTTGGGGAGAAGATAGATATAACATACTTGGATTTTAACCAAGTTAATTCAGCTGTGGCCTTAATATAACTCAAATACACCAGTGATTATAATAAGGTTTCTACAAAAGTGTTTTCATGGTCTGTATCACAGGCTCCTTTAAAGAGTTGGTACAGTTATCCCGACGAAAGTTTCCAGAGAGTATCATAACACAACCTTTGGATTGTGAGACCTTTGGATTAGTAAATGTGAGTGTGTATGTACGTGTGTGTATTTAATCTATGCAAATCATGCCCTGATTCTGGCCCCCAAGAGCTCAGATGTTTGTGAGAAGTTAGAGATTATTTACAGAGAGCATTTTTTGAATAATTTTGTCATTGAAATGTGACACAAATCTTCCAAAATGGTAATTCTCTCTAGCAAGCTAATCCTTCAAGAGGTTTTTATGTCTCCAAGAAAGCTGTGTGTAATCAAAAGACTCTACAAAATACATGTGGGTTTGAGTCACTCTCTAGAATTCCATTTAACTATTGCCAGCTCCAGGAACAGCCACAATTTCCTTGTCTCTTGTGCACATCAGATAAAGAATTCAGAAAGAATTGGCAGTTGGCAGGTGAGTAGCTGAAAGAGGAAGGAAAAAAGCTTTACTGGTGTTTCCCAATTAATTTTCTTTTCAAGTGAAAGTCTGAAAAGAAAAAATAAGAAAACTGGAAATGACCTAAAAACTCTGGTGTGATAAGATAAACTTTGGCCTGACCATCACCCTGTGACTTAATGCATAGTCTGAGAATGAGAAAATTGACTGAAAAAACAAACAAAAAAACCAAAAGCCAAAAAAGAGACAAACCATGGACTGTATTTCCAACAATTATTTTTTTTAATTATACTGAAACTTAAAAGTGAGAAATAGAAGGAATTTGGTCTTGAAAAAAAAAAAAGTCTGTGGGAAAATTAGTGAGAGGAAAAGCAAATAGAAACAAATATTTAGTTAAGAACCTTAACTTAAAATTCCATTTTTAAAAATTGTACTAACGCCAAAACCTTAACGAAAGAGACTTTTTTTTTTCAAATAGAGCAAAGACACCTGTTAATATCAAGGAATCCATTATATTTTATACTTCAATTATCTTTTGAAAATAATGAAGAAATGAGTCAATGGTATTTGTCAGAATGACCCTAGGTGCATAACTTAAGACATGTGTTCTGGCACATGACAGTTTACTGTATGTCAAGCTCCCTTTTCCTTAGTGAGGAACAAAGAGGTGGCAGTCTTAGTTTCAGGCAAAGGCAGGGAGTTTTTGTTCCATTCAGCCAAATATCTCTGTGAACCCTGAGACTGATCCCTCAGGATCATGTACTCCTGATTCTGAAAATCAGTATAACTTGCCAGTTCAAATATCTCCCACGTTCTAAACATTTCAGATGCTAAAGTTTTCTGAGGGGCAGAGGCTATAACCTGGTGACAAAGTTTATTTCATCTTGGGCATTCACCCCTCTCTTCAAAAACATCATGAGCTCAGCTTTGACAAAGTAGTCTGTTTAGATTCCAAACCCCTCTCCAGCTACATCCATGAAGACATGGAAAGGGCTTGCCATAGTTCTGTTCCATAAGTATTGTGCCATGGAGAATCTACTCATTACAGCATATTAACTTGTTTATAAGAGGTACAGGAGATCATCTTTGCCTGGGGTTATTAAGAGCTCAGGCCTTGCAGGGGCACCTGGGTGGCTCAGTCAGTTAAGCATCTGACTTT